CTTCATCTCTTATGGAGATGGATCCTTGTTGGTTCTGATCTAGAGGTTCTAGATCTGACCTGGCCTTGCTCTTCCATGGTTCCGGAAGATGCCGTTTGGGGAAGCCTCTTTCAGAGATCCAGTTTGATGCTTTTCTCCAAATGTTTGGTGTGGTCATCTCTCGGGTGATTGCATTCACCTTCCCCCTCTCCATCGTCATCCCCTAAGGTGTTGGTTGACTGAGTGGGTGTCTCTTCTGATTGTTGTGGCGGCCGCATCATGCTTTGAGCAATCCGGTCACAGTCCTGTCCACCGTCGCGTAATCCCGAATCGAAGATTCACTGTGATGGGTCGTTTTTGAACAACTCCCAGAAGGCGGCTTATGGGGTTGCTTTGCTCAATTTCCATGGTCAATGCTGTATTGGATGAGCTGGTGATGTTGTGCTTTGTGCTTATCGGATTGATGAGGATACAAAGAGGGGTTTTGTTTTCTGCGATTTGGACTTTGGAAGGGAGTCCTCGTGTCTGTTCTGGTTGTATTGTGCTCCTTTCTCTTAGACTTTTCTCTGCTGCACAATATGTTCTTTTGGACATGTGGGTTTCTTTTCCTGTTGCTGGGTTCAGGGAGCTTTCCCCTTTTGTAACCGTGTTATTCCGATTTTCAATCTAAGCGTTACGATTTGTCAAAAAAAAAAAAAAAACAAGAAACACAAACTACAAAGTATAATACGAAAAAGCAGTAGGGAATTTTTTGGAATTCATTAAACATCATATGCAAATGCAGTGTCTACTAATCAATTTAATCTCGTAATTCCACGACCAAAATTTACAAGATATATAAAGGCAAAACATGGGTTAGAATTGCTCCATTTCAAATTTCGTGGCCTGAAAGTGATTCTAGGAAGGTCATTTTTGTCATTGCACCCAAATCATCTTTATATATTAAAAATGTTATAATTGGAGTTCAAACCATGGTCACTTAGTAAATGAAGAAAGAGCATTATAACCAACTAGGCTACATTGTAATTATTGTTATTTTTTTATTAAAAACTAGAAATATGGTTGGTGATGATACTTCTATATTTATATTTTATCTTAAGTTATTTATATTTTATAGAGAGATTAGTTCTAAAATCGGAACTCAAGTAAAATTGATTCAAACATTACTATTAAATTGTCTGTGCATTATAGTTTAGAAAAAATACAGAAGCATATTTTACTCTTTATAATAATTAATTTAATCTTAATATTTGTGATGTTTGAAAAAATTTATGTATGATTTAGATGTATACTTATTATTTGTGACATCAGTGGTAGTTGGTTCAAATGTAGTATTTCATCATGTAGTCAAAATCGAATATTGGGTGCGTTTATGAATGTTTTTTTAATCTTGGTGTTCTGAATAGATAGAAACTTAATTATTAGAATGCATATGAGATATAACTATACCTAGACACATGGTCAAGCTAGCACGACACAGTTAGCGCATACCATGAGTACAATATATATGGGTCGGCCCTGTACAAGCATGAATGTTTCATGGGTCATACCATACTCAAACATCAAGGGCTAGCGCACAAGTGCTAGTACCACACAACTATATTGGTGAACTCATGTTTTATGGACAAATGCGTTCTGATAAAAATAAAATAACATATTCTAAAAATAACATATAAAATTTGAATTAGTGAGTATTTTTTCACATCAACGTGTGCACAACTCATATTCTAAAAGGTTTTAAAATACATTCATAGTTTATTTTGAGACTCAAACATTTTTCAAAGTATACAACTAAACATTCATTTATAAAATAATTCTTGATTATATTCATAGTTGAAAAAGTCTTTTTTACAGTTTGCAGTCAATGTAGTCAAAATCACACTTTTAAACTTAAAAACTTACGGTTTTACATTTTTACGTCACCAAAACGCTTCTATAAATAATCACCATTTTTATAACTAATGTAGTAAAAATTGCGTTTTGAAGCTTAAAAGCTTACTGTTTTACGCTTCTAGATCACCAAAACGCTTCTACGTAGAAACACGATTTGACTACATTGCTTGCAGTAATAATAGACAACATCAACAATAATTTTAGAAGAAAGTAAAGTGAAGAAGAAATTGGGATTTAGTATCTCTTTGCAAATGTGTGTGCGTTTGGGGAGGAGGATTTTTTTAGTCTAATTTTTTTGAAGAATGGGTTGAACTTACATATCATTGTTCAAATATTGAATTGGGGTATTGAACATTTAGAAGCGATATATAATTCTTAAATCAATATTAAATTTCAGCCTAGTTGTCCAATAGCCTTAGACCTCTTGCTAATCTGACATGATTGGATCCAATAATCATAAGATGAGATTTAGTTAGATATGCCGATTCAAAACCATTTTTATGTGTATGGAATTTGTACGAAAAATACATGTAAATAAGTGAAGGTGAACCTGATTATGCATTTTGATTCTTTAGATAACTAAAATTGTTTAAGCAATGAACTAACTATACACTCACTCGATTGGGGTAACGAGCTTTGTTTTTATAACATTTAGTAATTAGTTTATTCACATGCTATCAAACTACTTTGCTTCGTCGAAGAATAAGCGGTCATCTGTTCACCAGGTTTCAGGTGATCTGATTCACACTATCGACTGTTAATGGAGAAGAAGTATTTCGAACGCAAAATTGGAGAAGTAATTAGATCATTTTTACTTAATACGATTATTGTAATTTCTGAGATTTAAGGGGTATTCGATAATGTCAATATTTCAGTGACTTTTATTTAAAGTTTGAATTGAAAGATCGTACGTACCGGCTGTTCGACCATAAAACTTCGGTAGGTGACATTTAGCAATATAAAACGGTTGAACCACGGTTAAATTATGACTTTAGTATAAAATATTCTGGCTAAATTACACGTTTGGTCACTCAAATTATACAAATCTTTCACGTTTGCCACCCAAATTACTTTTCTTTCTTATTCGCCGCTAACTTTACGAATCGTTTCACGGTTGGTCACTGGCCGTTACACTCCGTTAAGTTTGTCCTACGTGGCAGTCAACTATAAAGTTTGACCGTTAACTAGATGACGTGGAAATTAAAAAAAATAAAATTTTCTTTCCACCTCATCATTGCACTTATTTTGTCTATATAATTTATCATATTAATAATTTAATAAAATTTAATAAATTACAAAAATGGGCAAATCAAATTTCGGGGAATCACGTCAGGGAGGTGGTTATAATCCTTTGCGAAGCACTTGCTTAGAAAGTCTTTTCCCGATTCCGTCCACTACCCTGGAAATTCCGGCCGGCATCCGTTCCTGACCTCCATCAACACATCCTCAACGTCGTGCAGCCTGGTCCACGGTATCTCTCTGGTGAGCATCTCCAGAACCGTACACCCCAACGCCCAAATATCCATCGCCGGCGTCACTCTCCCATCCACCACCACCTCCGGCGGCACATATCTCGGCGTTCCCCTGTGCTTGTTATGACTCCCCTGAATCAGCTTCCACGTCTCTACCGCCAATCCGAAATCTGCGACCTTCAATTTCCGAATCCCCTCCTCTCCCCTGTTTCCGGACTCTGCCGCGGCCGCCGGCGACCCAGGAAAGGCTAGAATGTTGCGCGGCTTGATATCACAGTGGACGTAGCTGAGAGAGTGGATCGAGGAGAGAGCTTGGAGGATCATCCGAGTGTAAACCCTTACGTGATTCTCCGGAATTCCGATACTTTCTTCTCCGCCGTACTTCGAAATCAAGTCGGATAGAGAACCTTCAGAAGCGTACTCCAAGAGCAATTTGTAAGTTCTCTGCCCGTTTCTCTTCTCCAAATACCCTCCGTCGAGGCACTGAACGATTCCCGGAGTACAGATGAACTTGCGGAGGACTTGGTGCTCGACAGAGAGCTGTGCCGAGCGTGTTGATCGCCGCCACCTCCTTTGAGTTGACTCTTGAGGATCTTGGTTCTCCACTCGTCCAGCACATCATCGATCTCGTAGGAGACGTCCTCGAGCTTCTTCAACCATTTTTTGATGCCTTCATCCTTCCATTGCTTCTCTTCTGCATCCAACAGCAGAGCTCCGATGGCGGTGAAAGTGGATTTGAGCTTCTCCACATCTTTCGCAGCGCCGAGGACAAGCTTCCCGTGTTTCTTGAGCTCTTCGGCGGTGATGGAACTCAGCTGGGTCAGGACTACAGAAACAATGGCTTCTGCTATAACCATGATGATGGAAGCGAATTAACCTGATTAGCTTTGAGGAGATTGACCGATGATCTAGAAGGGAAGCTAGCTGGGAAAGGAATGGAAAACAAAAGAAGAATTTTCATCATTTTTGTAATTTATTAAATTTTATTAAATTATTAATATGATAAATTATATAGACAAAATAAGTGCAATGATGAGGTGGAAAGAAATTTTTTTTAATTTTTTTAATTTCCACGTCATCTAGTTAACGGTCAAACTTTATAGTTGACTGCCACGTAGGACAAACTTAACGGAGTGTAACGGCCAATGACCAACCGTGAAACGATTCGTAAAGTTAGTGGCGAATAAGAAAGAAAAGTAATTCGGGTGGCAAACGTGAAAGCTTTGTATAATTTGAGTGACCAAATGTGTAATTTAGTCAAAATATTCTACACAAACTTTTTTTATACGATTTTAAAATCGTCGGTTCAAATAATTATTTTACACCGGTGGAAACAAAAGTTACAAGACACATTTTGAACTATTTATTGCAAAAAAAAAAAAAACATAAGTCAGTTGGCGATAATGCATAATCAACCCAAAACACACTTTGCAACTTCTATCTTTTTAAAATAAATGTATGCTACTCATTCATCAACTTAATGAGTACCTTTTGCATGATGGGACTGCGAGGAAATGGAACAACGGCTTAAGCCATTAGGTGTAGGCGCTTTCCATAGGTGGAAGATTGACAAGGCATGAAAAGCTATTCATTGGAAGATAAGAAAAACTAATGGGATGTTAAGTCCAGGCCGAACGACTTCTACTTCTTTATGGATGGCGGAAGGCAGGTGTTGGCTTCGCTCTTACGTTTTACCGAAAGAGTCTCGCGCAGGAGCGCTGCTGTAAGCAATTATGATCTCAAGACCGGTCTTACTTCTGTGGTATTTGTCCTTTCCCCAGCTTTCAGTGAAGTTCCTAAATAAAATTGAGTACATATATTTCATGTAAGCTGATTTTCATAGTTTTTTTAATTATTTCATGAAAAAATATTTGTTGCATGAAAATTACAACATTGTTGCTAGACATGTCTGCAATATGAGAATAATTTGGGAAGTCGGTACAAAACACATTGCTCAACTAACTATTAGTCACAACTTAGCATCATGTCCTATACACTTCAAATCAAGCAACTTCAAATTCATTACCAATGGTATGGTAAAAAAATGTTCTCTATTGGAAAAAATTTAAAGGACATACTGAATTCTACGTGAAACATTTTTTCCATCTTAAAGGTTGACTATGAATGTATTATGAGAAGCAACTCTAATATTCAACTATATGATTTAATTAAGGGCTAATACCACTAGAAAACCCGAACTATTAACTTTGTGTCATTTGTGTCCTAAAGTATTCGATATGACAATAGTGTCCCAAAGTATTTTTCCGTTATGGTTGACTACCGTTGACCGTTAGTTTTGAATTATTTGACAGGTCATGGCTGATGTGTCTGCCTAGATGGCTTTTTTTATTTACAAACCCATTCCGTGTTTACACGTCAATTTTTTTTTTTAAAAAAACCTCAAATGAAATCGGGGTTTCAACCGAACCCGAATCACATTTACCCTTCCCTCGACTTCCCCCCAAAAAATTCAAGAACCCTAACCGTTCGTGGCGATCTCCCGATTCCCCTCCCCGACAAACAGCGGGGAGTCGATTCGCCAGCTCCGCAGTCTATCAACATCTGGACATCGGGCGCGACGCAGGGAGGAACATTTTCGAACGGCAGCTTCGAAACCTTCGGGCGCGGCGGGCAGGGAGGAACCTTTTCGGACGGCAGCTTCGACACCCATCCTCGATTTCTTCTGCAATCATTGCCGACGACCTGCGCGAGTGCTTGTATCATCGTCTTGGGAGGAGTAGATGATGCCTCTACTAGCAGAGGTCTCGGGCGGTATGGAATTTTGTTTCGCCCAAAATTTCTAGGGTTTTGGTGCGAAGGGGCGTGTCCGTTTTTCTGGAGTTGTCGAGCTATTTGAAGGTCAATTTGGTAGTTGGGAAGCAGAGTGAAGGTGGTAATCGTACAAGAAAGTAAATGTGGTAGCTGCGAAGTGGCTTTGCTCTGTAAGATTTGCTGGAAGTGGAAGGGGAAAGCAGGGACCAAGACGAAGCTGTGAAGACGAAATTACCCCCTTGGCGAGTTGAGCAACATGTATGAATTCAATTCCAGCAGGACGTCCTGGTCATTTCCATCCATGTAGTGAATTGGTTGTCTTGGAGTTGTAATATTCAATTCGAAAAGGTTACGGGTTTGTGGATTGCTAGATTGCAAAGTTGTCTTTTAGCAACTTTTGGGGAATGCTTTTAATGGTAGAAAATTATTGACCCTAGACTGCGATTAGAATAGTATAAAGGAGGATTTGTAATAGTAACCATGTTATGTAACATGCAGGATGACTACGTACTTGGAATTGATAGTCCACCATGGTGGGAAGATGGACTATTCTGAGGAGGTTCCTCGCTACCTAAATGGGAAGATTGAAGAAGTTGACATGGACCTAGACTACATCTCCTACTTCCAGTTACAACAACTTGGGGTCGTCCACTTTGAATACGCTAGGGTCGAGCGCTTGTGGTATATGGCTCCATCGGATAATTTGGGAAATGTTCTGGTTGAAATAAGGTTCGGCGCTGAGGTTATGGATGGACTGATTCATGCTGTAGAAAATGGGAAAATCGTGATCTTTATGGAAGGTATAGAGACTCAAGTTGGAGATAATGAAGATGCTGATGGAGACTTCAGTGACGATGATGATACAGAAGGTGATGAGGAGTCACAGAATCGAGACATCATCCATTTTATGGATGATGATGTGGGCACTTCTGATGATGAGTTCGTCGATTCTTTGGAGAATCAAGGGATTAGAGCACGACAGATGATGGTTCGTACCACTAAAGATCAAACTGGTGAAGCTGTGGAGCAGGAATCTGTGACTGATTATGAGCAGACTAAACAGGATGTTCCCTCACAAGCTATGGGAGGTGAAGATGAAGAAGCTGAAGATATCCCACATGTACAAAAAGAACAAGTGGGAAACCAAACACTACTCGAAGCTGAAGATATCCCACATGAAAGGGCAGAACAAGTGGGAAACCAGACTCTACCCGAATCAGAATATAGAGGTTCGGTTGACTCACGACATGTTCGTGGGAATCTAGACGATGAGCCAACTGATCCTATTTATGATGGTCCACACTACGACCCCAGATGTGACCATTCTACTCTAAAGTTTACGGTGGGAATGAGCTTCAATTCCCTGGAGCAGTTTAAAGAGGCAGTGGAGGAACACTCCATCGCAATTGGAGCTGATATCAAGTGGACGAGAAGTGACAAGAATAAGAAGCAAGTTGAATGTCGCCAGAAGTATGGGTGGTATATCTATGGTAGTTAACATGCTCGTTCTTGGTTTATGGTGAAGAATCTTGGGAAGGATCACACTTGTCCTAGGGCTATCCGGATGCGGGTTGCAAATGCAACTTGGGTGGCTAAGAAGTACATTGAACGTTTTCGAAGGGAGCCTGATTGGAAGGTAAATAATATGATGCTGGAGCTAAGGCAAACACATAATGTGGTCATTTCGAGGAGGCAATGCTATAGGGCGAGGACATATGCCAAACGGATGTTAGGAGGGTCGTTGATAGAGGAGTATAACAAGATTAGGAGGTCTGTTGGCGCTTTGAAAGAGCGGGATATAGACTGTACTTTTATTCTAGAGGTTGGCCCGTCTAATATGCCCCATCGAGTATTGTTCAAGAGGTTGTACATTGGTTTTAGTGGGCTGCGAAGGGATTTCAGTAGGGGCTGCCGACCAATGTTTGCTTTGGATGGGTGCTTTCTTAAAGGTGAGGTTAAAGAGATGCTTTTGAGTGATGTTGGTAAAGATGGGGACAACATGATGTTCCCTATTGCTTGGGCTGTAGTGGAAGGGGAAAGTAGTGAAACATGGAAGTGGTTTGTTTCTATTTTACAGCAAGATCTTAGGACCATTGATGGTCGTGGGTGGACAGTCATATCTGACCAACACAAGGTAAATGTTAGACTTGTTTTGTATGAACGTTACTTGTGTTTTAGTGTTTGTCATGTGTGGAGTGTTAGATTGCAGGAGACTTGACTACATTATGTTCTTGTTTGTAGGGACTTGTGCAAGCACTAAACAGTTGCTTACCTGAGGCATTGCTAAGAAAGTGTGCACGTCATGTTTTCGTGAACTGGTAGGTTAACCATAGGGTGAAGGCACATAGAGACTTGTACTGGGAGGAAGTGTATGCAAAAAACGTACACGACTACAAAGCAGTGATCAAAGTCATGGGGGAGATTCAACAAAGTGGGGCAGATCCATCTCTACTTCAAGATTTTCTGGATCATCAACCAGAAACCTTTTGCAGGGCTTTTATGAGTCACACCTCCAGATGTGATTCGGTGGAAAGTAATATTTGCCAGACCTTCAATGGTTATATCTTAGAGGAGAGGGAGGACAGGATCATTGACATGCTCGAGGGTATCCGTAGGAAGCTCATGGTGCGAATTGTTGAAAAGAATGTGCAAGTTGGTGGTCGGAGGGATCGATTCCGTCCTAGGATAGAGAAGAGGATTAGAAAAGGTGTGGATTTGGCCAAGATGTGTCAAGTGAGTCTCGGCTTGGGCATGAAGTTTGAAGTTGCTATTGACTGTAAGGGGTACGTGTTGGACTTGGACGAACAAACATGCAGTTGTGGTTCGTGGGGATTGACTGGAATTCCATGTGTACATGCAATTGCTTGCCTATAATGGAAGAGGATAGAGCCAAGTGATGTCGTGTCTCCTTCTTACACTGTTGGGTCATACAAGACGGCATACGAATTTGGTATTCCTACCATTGAAGGCCAGCAAGCTTGGCCAGAATTAGTAGGCTATCCAGTTTATCCTCCTAAATTCAAGGTCTTACCTGGACGTCCAAAGAAGCAACGGAGGAAAACACCAGGGGAGATTGAGACAGTTCGACATGGCAGTGATGGATCTACTATGAGGAAGAGAAGATTAACAAGACTCCAGGTACTGCCATGCAGGAGATTAGCGACCAGTCGAGCTTTGAAGCGCTCGATACTGCCATCCAGGCGATACTTGATCTTAAAAACTCACTTACAAGCAATGACGCGCTTGCCGGGAGGAAGATTAACAAGACTCCAGGTACCATTTTGCTGAAGAGCAACCACCTCGTTGATCATGGCCTCATGCCAACAGTGGTCACACATGGCCTGCCAGAAGAATTGGGGTTCATCGCCGTGGGTGACTGCAGCAAGAAAAACCTGGTCAGAAGGAGTGAAACCATCATAAGAAATGTGATTAGAAAGAGGGTAGAGAACATCACTTCCCTGAGAAGACCCCACAATGACTGGACCCGTGACATAGTTCTCCAAATACTTGGGACGATGACGATTATGATCGCCGCGTTGGAGGCCGGGTGCAGCCGATAGGGGCGAAGGCGAACCATGACTATCACGAGAGGCCTGAGAAGGCGAGTTCGGAGAGGAACTCGAGCCAGCCAAAGGCTGACCAGTCGTAGGAGTGACTGGGGACGTCACGTCCAGATTATTTGTGGACGAAGTATTTATGGACGAGAGCTGCTGCGGGGACGAGGGCGACGTATCCGCCTGAGGGACGACTTGAGGCTGATCAGTAGCGAGGTCGGCGTCGCTGGCCAGGTCGAATGGAGGAGGTGAGTACGTGTCGGCAGAGATGTGAAGCGCATCAAAGTGCAGACGAGGGACCCAATGCAAAGTATCCTGCGTCGCTGGGTGAAAAGGAAAAATGTGCTCGTGAAATATAAAATCACAAGTGGTAATCATCCAACGTGCCAGTAAATCGTACACCTTGTACCCCTTTTGACTAGTGGCATAACCCAGAAAAATACAAGCACAACCACGTGCTGCAAACTTGTCGAGATGGCCATGGGTGTCTTTAGAGTAAACTAAGCAGCCAAAAACCCGGAGATGAGTGTAAGTAGGAGGTCGCTGAAAGAGAACCTCAAAAGGTATACGACCAGTCACCGAACTCGACAATCGATTAACTAGATAAGTTGTCGTGAGCAAACATTCTCCCCAAAACCGAAGCGGGAGACTATCCTGGAACCGCAACGCTCGAGCGGTGTCGAGTAAATGGCAATGCTTTCGCTCAACGACATCGTTCTGCTGAGGAGTGTCAGTGAACGATGTCTGAAAAAGGATACCTTCCTGATCATAATATTCTCGCAAAGGAGTTGTGGTGAACTCGGGGCCATTATCGGCCTGCACGCGTTTGACCTAGGAATTAAACTAAGTGAGCACCATACGGAAAAATTGAAGAAGATATCGACTAACATCAGACTTGAAACGCATGAGATAAACCCACGTACCACGACTGAAATTATCAACTATCGTCAAGAAATAATGTGCACCACTCAATGAAGGAACTTTATAACCACCCCAGATATCCAGATGAATAAGTTCAAAACAAGACTGTGTTTTTATGAAACTCGAAGGAAAAGGACTGCGAGTTTGCTTAGCTCGCAAACAGGAATGACAGGGGGAGATAGGGTGTGACAGTAAATCAGAGTGGATGTCATTTTAATTTGAAGAGCACAATTAATATGATTTTTGTGTGTAATTATTTTTTAAAATGTCACTTAAAACGAAAGCGATATAATTAATAGTCTATTGAGGGAAAATTAGTAGCATTTGTAACTTAGTAAGTATAGCTTTATACAACATCGAATAACATGCAACAAATCCTCTCCCCCACCACGTCCATGAGCAAGCATGACCCCGACGTACAACTCGTGCATCGCATGAGGCCAATCAACTACCACAATAATTCAATTTTTAGTTTAAATCATTGTAATAGTTGGTTATGTATTTCTCTTTCATTCAATCAACTCTATTTGAATAATTGTCATTTGGCCTAATCAATAAATTACAGGTGTCCTACCAAAAAAAATAAAATAAATTACAGGTGCGGTCCCTCCTTTCCTTAAAAAAACGTGGGCATAATCATTTAATTTTAGTCTGTATTGCACTAGTGATTAAATTATTAATAAGGTTTGGTGAAATATTAAGGGATAATACCACTAGGAAATCCGAACTATTAAGAATGTGTCATTTTGTGTCCTAAAGTATTTAATATGACATTTGTGTCATAAACTATTTTTTCGTTATAGTTGACCGGCATTGACCGTTAGTATTTAACAAATGACACATTCTTAATAGTTTGGGTTATGACATAAATTACACAAAACTACAATAGGTTGGGACACAAATATCATATTGGATACTTTAGAACACAAATGACCCATTTTTAATAGTTTGGGTTTGCTAATGGTATTAGCACAATTATTAAACAAAACCAATAATTAACACCAACCGGGGATTTTTGTATAAATAGTGGAATTCAGGACGAGCATGTCATCGCCCCTTTCCTCTATACACACATACACACTTGTCCTCCTCCAAATATCAGTTTGCGAGCATGGCTTCTTCCACATTATTCACTGTAACTTGCCTGCTGCCTTCCTTGCCACCTGCAGCCTCCACCAGATCCATGGGACTCTCATGCAAACCCAACAACAATACCCTAACTCTCTCTCAACAACAAAAAGCTGCTAAACCCAACAACAATTCCCTGTTCGGCAAGGGCCAGAGTCTCCCGGACGGCGACTCTGGCATGATCGCCGTGATTCCCATGTTCGGCAAGGGCCAGAGTCTCCCGGGCGGCGACGCTGGCATGATCGACGTGATTCCCATGTTCGGCAAGGGCCAAAGTCTCCCGGACGGCGACGCTGGCTTGATCACCATGATTCCCATGTTCGGCAAGGGCCAGAGTCTCCCGGGCGGCGACGCTGGCATGATCGCCGTGATTCCCATGTTCGGCAAGGGCCAGAGTCTCCCGGACGGCGACGCTGGCTTGATTCCCATGTTCGGCAAGGGCCAGAGTCTCCCGGGCGGCGACGCTGGCATGATCGCCGTGATTCCCATGTTCGGCAAGGGCCAGAGTCTCCCGGGCGGGGACGCTGGCATGATCGGCGTGATTCCCATGTTCGGCAAGGGCCAGAGTCTCCCGGACGGCGACGCTGGCTTGATCACCATGATTCCCATGTTCGGCAAGGGCCAGAGTCTCCCGGACGGCGACGCTGGCATGATCGCCGTGATTCCCATGTTCGGCAAGGGCCAGAGTCTCCCGGACGGCGACGCTGGCTTGATCACCATGATTCCCCTGTTCGGCAAGGGCCAGAGTCTCCCGGACGGCGACGCTGGCTTGATCACCATGATTCCCATGTTCGGCAAGGGCCAGAGTCTCCCGGGCGGCGACGCTGGCATGATCGCCGTGATTCCCATGTTCGGCAAGGGCCAGAGTCTCCCGGACGGCGACGCTGGCTTGATCACCATGATTCCCATGTTCGGCAAGGGCCAGAGTCTCCCGGGCGGCGACGCTGGCTTGATCACCATGATTCCCATGTTCGGCAAGGGCCAGAGTCTCCCGGGCGGCGACGCTGGCATGATCGCCGTGATTCCCATGTTCGGCAAGGGCCAGAGTCTCTCGGGCGACGACGCTGGCATGATCGGCATGATTCCCATGTTCGGCAAGGGCCAGAGTCTCCCGGACGGCGACGCTGGCGTCGGTTTCATGCTCACTGAGAACCTCGCAGGAGGAGACGTTTACGTGGGTCTTTGATTGCCCATATATGCATGGTGTCTAAGGTTGGTGTGGTCACTGAGGCTTGAACTTGGTATAAAAATAATGGCCTCAGTGCTCTTAATTCGGTCTTTGCTTGCTGAAAAACAAAACTGGTTGTTGTTCTGAATTCGTCACTATCTCAAGTTCTGTGCTTTTTCCATTGTCGTCCTTAATTTGTACTGTCGGCGTGTTTACGGCGGCCAAGGTCGCACTCTTGTACTTTGTTTGTGATATCAAAAGAATATTAATGTTTGTTGTGTTGGGAAATTTACTTTCATATTTGACATTTCGGCGGCGCTAGTACTGTGACCGTGATTCCACTCCGTTAGCTAGTTGAGCTTGAGCAACAAATGATTGCTAGCTATTGTTTACTTACCTAGTCCTCATATTATTATGAATTAACTAGCATGGTCCGGCTAGTTGTCCGGAGGAAGGTGAGGTATGAAATTTGATAATGTAATGGGTTGTATAGCTTATTGTTGTATAGTTTTTTTTGGAAACACGTGATAAAGATAGTGAATTTTATCAGTAAAGAGACATGGATGATGCAACGAATCAAAAATCAGTCTTATGAACCAAAATCAAGTGCTTGTTACCTTGTGAAACAATATTGTTTCTGATAATATCATTAGGTGGAGTAAGTTTTATAGAAACCGAATTCCAGAAAATAGAATAAAAAATCGCCTATCCAGCCGGTTTTCGGGAAATGAGCATCTCACAATCGTTGCTAGCTTTTACTCGGCCTGTTGGCCGATTAATTTGCTTTATAAAACTTTCATCTTGTCGTCATTGTGCTTTCTGGTTTTTGTCAGGCCATGATAAAATGTAAAGAAATCAAGAACGAACAACACGATTTGGGAAAGGAACCGCCGTTCCTGTATCCCTAGAAAATGGTGGTAAACATGAACTCACCTACCGAACTGGCTTGGATTGAGATTTTTATCGGGTATCAGGGAATCATGTGATTATAAATTAGACTTGATCAAAACGGGCCAAAACTTGAAATTCGGCATGTTTAACCGACCCATGTCAAACTCTAATTATTCTTTACTTTTAAACTTTCTATTTTAAAATAAAAAATAGTGAAAGAAAAGAGATGACTGTAATTCGCCATTTGCACATCACTGATTCAGGAATAAAACCATAGAAATTCGAAAGGAAACTGAAAATGTTTAGGATCATTAAAAATAACCAAATAGATCTTTCTGTTTAGTTTTTTACTAACAAATACCAAACGATTCCCTATAAAACACACTATAATTTAATCATTATGATATCAAATAATTACATAATATATATTTGAAATGATAAAAATTGGACTAATTGAGTTGGTAGAGGTTAAACCATTTAATAACTTTAAAATACATTATATTTTAGCCACTAAGATATAATATAACAG